CTGTGGACTGGTAGCTCGGCGGGGATACGCCCACCGAAGGGAGGTGACAGCTCCCGTAAGGTGTAGGTAAGTCGTGCCTCGCGTAGGCCCTATCCTGTCGTAGGGGCTCGCGAGAGGTATGGCTGGCGCACCCGGCCGGAGCGGTTTGTGGAAGCTCCATGTATATTTGCGACGAAGGGTTGTAAAAACCAACTCCTGCGTGACGCGGCCGGTAGGGTCCCGCGCTGCCCCCGTGCGGTGCCGAACCGATTGCGCCCGACAACGATCCCACTCGTGAGGGCGAAAAGGGATCAAGATCTGTATTTCGTAGGCATAAGGCACAATTTCGGCCTCATGAAGAACAGGGAATGGAGGTGGGAAGACGTGCGGTGGAGGTTGGAGGACCACGGAACAACAACCTCGACTCCACATGCTCCCACAGGCTGGACAACTGGAGCACCCTGATGTCGTGGTAGCTACCCGGGTATCCCATGTGTACATCGGCTACATGCTAGTCCAGGTCGACGACAACCTTCATGACGATGGAGAAACGACGCTTCCTGTCATAGTAGTTTTCACGTGGGTTATTCGTCGACTTGTCCACGTACATGTGAGTACAGTCAATGCAACTGTGGCAATTGGGGTACCCTTTATCAGCCAACGCCCGCAAAACGACGAGTTTACGAACTCCAGTCGGTCAGGCAATCTTCTCGCCGTACACCCGGAGCAGCGTGGCAGTAACGTCACGGACGGCAACCAGGCTAGAAGCTCTAGCCATCCTTAAGTTGCACGTGTTGCTCTCATAAGTCTCCCCCGACGTCCACCTATACCGTGCGTACGCGACAATCTCGTCTGGCTGCAAAGGCTCCGTGTATAACATCACCCGCCGCTGAAGATGAGGCGCACATGCCTCCGTGATTTCCAGGAACACTCGCGGCGACATGCGTAGCTTCTCTCGGAAGTATTCGTCTGTCACGTCGTCGCATTGCCTGAGGTCTTCCCATGTGCCTCCAGTTTTGCGCTTCATCCACCATCTCGGCATCGCTCGAGGAATCACTCCACAACCCAACACGTAGCACAGCTGAACAACAGCCTTCGAGGTCGCCACGTAATCGGGGTCATCGTCTGGAGCTTGCATCAATGTCCTACTTCTACGCGCTAGCAACTGCTCCTTCATTCGTCCAAGCGCCCTCTCCTCCTGACATCGAAGAACAACGATCGACACAGCTGCCACCACAGCCTGCATCTCAAGTGGTGTCAACGGCGCACGTCCACCTTATCCGCCGCCCTCCATATCCGTGACATGGAGACGGATCCGTTGCTCCGCTGCCGTATGTGTTGTTCTTCCACACCCAACGAAGAAGACGAAGACGTTCGTTGAAATTTACCGCCTTTTCTTTGGATACAGTCCTGCCGACAGAAATGTGTTTGACGACGCAGTGTATGTGGAAGAAGGTCGACGGCGATGGACACAGTTGATGATGCCTACTCAGTCATAACGACCAAGGTACGGAAGGGACGCCGCCGCTGAGCCCGTTTCAACGGTTTGAACACTACGCCGTTTTCGCGTCCCCATCCGTACATTCTCGTCGTCGTCGCAACCGTCATTCAAAATTCGAATTTCAGACGTCGAGGCCCCCCGGGTTAAATTTTTTCCCAGCGCCCGCCTTATGCCGTTTCCTACCACACGTCGCTAGACCACACTGCCTCCACACGGACAAAAGATGGTGGACCACGGACGACCGACCCCGGGAGCACAAAGACCGGCATCGTTGTGCATAGTCCTTCGACCTCAATGCCTGCCTTATGGCAGACCCCGAAAATCTTTTGCTTTCTTCCGTCAGCCGTCTCTATCTCAAATAGGAAAGACCTATCCAGGTTCAGTCCCGGTCTTACAGCGAGTTCCTCGTCTATGATGACAGTTTCGCTGCCATTATCAATCACTCATTGGAGAACTATCTTGTGATTGAGAATAGTTTCAACTATCCCGCTCCCTAAGATATAAAACTTGTCAGGAGCCTCGCACTCAACTTTCACGCTCACTCCTAACACTGCCACAGTTGGCCTATGAATCCCCCGCGACCACGGTCACCGCGGGCACAACCGCGGCCCGCAGTCGCGGCTGAGGGACGTGGCGATCGCGGAATGCCGCGGCCCACCAAGGCCGAAGGAGGAGGGGTTTGGGGGTCGGCATTTCGGATTGGGGTACGGGGACCCCGACCCTACCCCCTTGAAAAAAAATGTTAAAAATAATAATTTTCGGGGTGGTTGTTTTTTGTGTGTGGAAAAAAAACATAAAAAATAGAAAAATAAATAAATACTCATTGTTGTGTTCGTTTTTGATTGATTGATTGATTGATTGATTGATTGGTTGGTTGATTGATTGATTGATTGATTGAGTGAGTGATTGATTGATTGATTGATTGATTGATTGATTGATTAATTGATTGATTGATTGATTGATTGATTGATTGATGGGTGAGGTCCTCACAACCCTCCCCCCGACACACACACACACACACACACACACACACACACACATGCACACAAGCACACACGCACACACACACACACACACGCGCGCGCGCGCACACACACACACACACACCCGCCCACAAACAAACTCGCGCACACACACACACAC